GAGAACGACGTGGAGGAGAAATTGGAAATTGAGCGTGGCCGAACTCTGTTCGGTCAAATGGTTCAGCTGTCGCAAGTCCTTGCCGAGATTCTCGATACCTTCTTTACATTACAAGCCCAGCAGACCATCACGAATGCAGGCGGACAAGGCACCCACCTGATTTTGTCCATGGCCAAGCCGATACAGCTGAAGCTGAAAGAATGGTACGCCAGCTTGCCCGCGACGATCCGTATGGACAACTCGTACACCACCAATACAGTCCCATCGAATCGTCTGTCGAGTATCGGCTACCTCCATCTCGCCTACTTCGCCACCGAAATCACCCTCCACCGTCGCATTATTCGGTCACTGGAGGCCACCGGCGCGGCCGTCGACCAGTACGTACAGCATATATGCCGCAGCGCAGCCAAGGCTCGTCTCATTTCTGCCATGGACTTTGTCAACCGCCTGAACTCATCTCACTTGCGCTCGTTCTGGTACTTTGCTTCCAAGACCAACTTTGCCCTCATTGGCACTTTTGGATCTCTCCTTTGGGCAACATCCCCAGGCAGGGAAGAGGCTGATTGGTACCGCCGACGCTTGGGAGAGTACCGTTGGACGCTCTCCGTCAGCTCCAAGCCTGGTGAAGGCAGAGGACTAACCAACTTCGCCATGACGATGCTCGATATCTCGACCGGTCTGCTTAAGAAGCTCCCCGAGAAGCCATCGATGAGCCGCAGTGGGAGCGTCGTCGACATGGGGCCTGGAGGCATCAGCAGTAGCTTTGGGAGCAATGGGATCCTAGCACTCGGTCAGAGTGCGCCTCCTACCATGACTTTCGGAAACTTCAGCGGGTTGCCGAGTGCCGACGTCAGCAATGCCCAGAGCCCTCGTAGTCCCAGCGCGGACAGCAGCGACGACGAGATGTACGAGACCTTTGCCCCGACGGCAGGCATGGCCAACATGGCCGATTGACGGTTGCAGCAGCTCCGCTCGGAGCTGCAAGTTGGAATATAATGACACCATGACGAGACGAGACGCTCACTTGAGCAAGCATACCCTCGAGAGAAGCATACCCTCCAAGAGATGCTTCCTGTCGTTTTGCGCTTTCTGTGGGAGGATCAAATTTTTTCGCTGTTTGGGTAAAAGGGGGAAGTGCATAATGATCTGCGGGATACCACCGGGTGCTAGGGCGACGGACAACAACCCAAGAGGGGGTTCAGAGGAGGGGATGATGATATTGGCCGCTACCTCTGGCTCCTCCCATCTTTATGATATTTGGTCTTTGATTTGGATCGACGACGCAACGGGAACGAAGCGCTATCAGCGGTGCCGGCGCAATTCTGGTGGGTTTATAACGTCCGTCATTTTTGAGCGGGGTGGAAAATAGCATCGTCTTTGGATGTTGAGCGATCCATACTTAGCATAGATTGAGATTTGGATGTGAAATGATATACCTTGATGTCCTGCTTTAGCTTATAGACCTTGATGGCCCCGGTTCCCTTGACTATTGCTGTTAGACATTTGTCAGTGACTGAAGGAACGCTTCACGTAGACAGCGGCCAACGAGTTGCATCTGATTGTTTCCCGACGTTTTCGTATTGGTGGGTGGAGCCATCAGGAGGCGTCGGAGGAAAATCACCAGAGCCCCGATCATGTCTAGAATCTTGCTGTCCTATGCCACTCAGACACTGAAATAATGACGGAAAACAGTGCTGCAATCGTGTTTAGTAGCTGCTGAGGCTGAGGTGGCTTTTGCTCTTCTGTTAAGCGACAGCCCTGCCTTCAAGTAAGCAGGTGCATCAGTTAACGATGAATCAGACCGACAAAAGGAATTTCTCCCGGTACGGGACTCGAACCCGTAACCCCTGGATTTCAGTATTTCCTAAAAGTCCAGAACGCTAACCATTGCGCCAACCGAGAAGCCGTGAGGGTGTGTGCTTGTTGATGTCAATGGGCGAGCAAGCAGCTGACACGGGTAGGAGCGTGGCCGTTGGGTGTTCGGGTGAATGAAACTGGTGCTCAGGAAGGTGAGTTTGCAAGGCAGGTTCTCTGTTACCAAGGTGGAGTCGCCCAAGCTCAGATGAGATCGTACCACGCGGCGAAAGTGAACCTTTCGAGTCTGGGCTGGACGAGAAAGGATTCGACAATGGCCTAATACCCTTCCAGGTTGCCGGATGGAGCTTATTGCTATGACGAAGACTGACAGGACGGGTGGGTTGTGTCTGGCGAGACTGCCACTGTCAAGTCAATGAAAAAGTCAAGTCACTCGATCTCGTTGTGCTTCTTACAGACTCAAGAAATACTGATGTTCTCCTATCCTGCAGCCGTGTTTCTTGGGCTCACGATGTAAGAAGCTCTAGGTCTGGCACTCCTGATTGTTTCAGACCGTTGATTGCTGCTCTGAGGAAGCTGGCCGACCATCGAGAGGCAGCTCTACTTCATCTTGAATGATTCACGTCTTTTGATGACGAAAATACTCGTGTAAGTCGATGACGGGATGGCATCGTTGATGCGTGCGGGAAGGTTGGACGACGAACAATGGTGAAGTAATCTCGCCAGGGACTGTTGAGGAGACACGAGCGGCTTGAAGTTTCAAGAGCACGGTATTTGCGGAAGGGTCAGCTCAAGAGTCTGGATACAGAGTCGTGGTGGGTTGGGCCGCCTCATGTATCCAGCCTCCAGCCAAAGCACGCAATCGATGGTGACAATTGCCCATCAGCCTCGCCTTCGACCAATCGTTACACGGCATTCATCCCTTAAAGCGGAAACCGTCGGCTAAGTTCAAGATATTGGTTGATCTTGAGTAAGAGGCATAACCAATTGCCATCCAATACGTATTGAAGCTTCAGACTTGGACGGTTGGATGGATGCCTTGCTGAATGGCGGTAACCGTGCATATCGACAAACGACAACAGTACGACATCCGCACATGCAATAGTACGGGTCCGACAGTATAGTCCTGTGGCGAATGTACCTTTTGTATTAGTATGCATATACACGAGCGAGAGCCGACTTCTACAGGACCAGTCCGTGGGAGGCAAGCGGCAATTAAGGGAAGAAATGAAGTGAAGTCCTCGGGGCGATACGTACTTCCTCAATCCCCATTATATAAGCAAATTGCCCCGCGGTATGCCACACAGTGACACCCCACCATGTCCGACGCGGTTGAACATTCTCCATCATCGTCATCATCAAGGCAACCAGAGACCACCACGACCTCGAGCCGTCGCAAACCCACTCCGCCAATGCGCGACCCATAACCACACATCAGCGCCCTCACGGAGACATCCATCCAAGATGCAGGGTTTTAACATGGGACGCTACGTCCCGCCCGACGTCGAGGGCACGACGTCAGGCAACAAGCTCCACGGCAAACACGCCCTCGGCGCGCGCGCCTCCAAGCTGTCCTCCGGCATCCTCACCGTCCGCTTCGAGATGCCCTACGCCATCTGGTGCTCCACCTGCCCGAAGCCCACAATCATCGGCCAGGGCGTGCGCTTCAACGCCGAGAAGAAGCGGGTCGGCAGCTACTACTCGACGCCGATATGGCAGTTCCGCATGCGCCACGCCGACTGCGGCGGCCCCATCGAGATCAAGACCGACCCGAAGAGCACCGCGTACGTGGTCGTGTCCGGCGCGAAGAAGCGGGACGTGGGCGAGGACGACACCGCCGCCGGCGCGGTGCCGAGGGAGGGCGCGATGGTGATCATGACGGACGAGGAGAGGCAGAAGCTGCGGAGCAACGCGTTTGCAAGCTTGGAGAAGACGATCGAGGACAGACAACTGCTCGCGCAGGCGACGGAGAGGATCGATGAGCTGGAGGACGTTTCGAAGCGGCAGTGGGACGACCCGTACTCCCGCAACAAGGCCCTGAGGCAAACGTTTCGGGTTGGGAGAAAGGAGCGCGAGAAGGAAGCTGCGGTGGGCGAGGCGCTCAAGGATAAAATGAGTCTGGGCATCGATCTCGTGCCCGGGACGGAAGAAGATGCGCAACGGGCGGCACTGGTGGACTTCGCACCCGACGATGATGCCACAAGAGTCGGCAAAGCATTAGCGAAGCCCTTGTTTCGCTCTGCGGGCAGCTCCAGGAAAGCTCAGGCCGAAGCTCCAAAGGGCACGCCAAAAGCGGAGCGGTTGACGTCAAAGAGAAGGCATCGTATTGTGTCGGAGATTGTAGGCAATACACGCATGTCGCAAGACCCATTCCTGCTAGATGCGCGGACGGAGCGGACACCACCGAGGATACCCGGTCTGAAGAGGAAACGGGACGTAAAAGCTGAGGATCCAAAGACGATTGAAGACGGGCCGAAGTTGCTGCCTTCCAAAGCTCTAGTGGGCTACGATTCAGACTCAGGATGAGGTAACCCCCAAGTTTTACGACATGGCGTTTGGAGAGAGGCACACTTTGTGATACCCAGGGATTTTAAGTATGTGTCTATATATGGTTCGGGATAAGCGATGCACCAGGACATTATTTGACTCATCGCGTGCCTTCCACACAAAAGGAAATCAAAAAAGAATAAGTGAAACTGGTTGGCTTGCCGCGCAACGCTGGCCACATTATTTGAATAGCGCGGTCGCTGTGCAGATACACAAACACCCCAGACCTTCTGAGCCACGGTACTTGTGACGGCTAGTTTCGATCAGTATATAATCGTTGGCAACTATGGGAGGCCCCTGAAGGAATGGACCGTATTGATCGAGTGTCGACCAAAGATCCAATCCGGGGTGACAATGAGCATGCCCCAGTCTCCGTCGGCCAACCATTGTCGTCTTCCCGAGGTATGTCTCGTAATTCAGGCCGTCCTGTGTTGTTGCAAACTCCGAAAATGATCCCATACATGCCTTCCTTATCCATAAACGCAAAGAAAATGCCCCCAGCTGCTAACCCCTGGTCGTAGAGGTGTTGCAAAGAGCGGGAGTACAGAGTGCAAGACCAATCGAGCCCGGGGAATATAAGTGTCCATCGACGCCAGTTCCATGAATGCTTCTAACAGATTTCTCGAAGGTCGTTGCGTTCATACGTCGTCGAGGCGGCCGGCGGGCTCCTCGTCGTCATCCCCAAAACTGCCAACTGAGGACATGGCGTCGTCGGATTCGCTTTCGCCATCCTTCTCGTCGGCGGCATCTTTGCTCGCGTACTTTTGCACATATTCTGCACTATTGTCAGTGATAACTGCTGTCAAGCTGCGTGCGCCTGCCTGCGCTGGTCTTACGCACCCTTTACTTTGGCGTCATAGCTCTTGGGTTCCCTGATCATCAAGGCGGCCGCCTCGCCATTCAGGGGGTCTGTCGGGTTCGGGTATCGCAAGAGCTGGGGAAGAAAGACCTCGAAAATGTTGATCATGTCGAACATGGGCGACCAGGTCTGGTTAATGACGTCCAAGCAGACGGAACCCGACCTATGCAGTATCCCCCATCAGTTCCTCGCTCCGGATGCAACCCAGGACGTTATCCGTCTCTTATGAAAGTTCCCATGACTCACAGCTCGTCGATGTTTGGGTGGAAGATACGGTTTACGAAGCCGATGCTAGGCGACTTGTATGGGTATTGATCGGGGAGCTCGACGTGGACCTTCCAGACGCCGCCTTCGAACGGGGCTACGGTTATTTAGCTTGACTATGCACTGTCCGGAAATCGCGCGTACTGACTCTCGGCGGGGCCCTTGAAGCGAACGTAGAACTCTTGCCTGGGTCGGTGTCGTTAGAATGGAAGTCGTTGGGCGTGGGGTTCGGTCCTTACACTGCAACGTTGTCAGCTGACCCAAAGGAGGCTTGAGTATCTTGGTGAACGGAATGCAAGCTTACTGTTGTCATTCACCAAAGTGACTTCGTAGTCACTCATCAACCTGCATATGTCAGTCCAAGCAAAAGGGGCCGTGTATTCGCGAGCCGCACATCCTAGGCCATGTTAGCAAAGTAGCATCATCGTGGCGTGATCTTGGGCGATTCACTTCATGACCTAACAAACAAAAAGAAATGTCAGTCTTCTGGTAGCCTCTGAGGCCCAAGAAAGCGGCAGCAAGGCAGACTCACATCAGTCTCGATTCTTCTGCGTGGACTACTCATGATGAGGGTTGCGCGGGGGGTTCGGACGATGGCAGGAAAGCAACGGCGGGCGGAAGTGGACTAGATAGCTAGTTGGACGTTAAGTTTGGAACAGTATGTCTGTTGAATCGAGTTTCTGTTTAGACTCGGATGGGCTTGAATTTCTACAAAAAGCGCGATCGTGTTGGCTGAATCGAGAGACAGGAGATGTTGGTTGTTGTAAAGAGGGGAGAAGTTAGCTCGGGTTCCTGACGCCAAGTCACGCGCGATGATGATGTGGGCGATCCCGGACCACAGCTGATAAGTGCCACGATAAGGAAGGTGGGCCCGAGGATTAAGCGGATAGATCCAGCGTGGGATCTTGACCCCAGCGCTAAGCTATCACCTATCTATAAATCCACCTTGCCTACCTGGGGAAGGTAGACAATGCAAACTTTCTTGGTCGCAAAGACCAACAATACCATGCGGTGCAAGGTAGTGCTGGCGCATGAGAGGCTGGGTATTCCAGCCATTGCTCAGCAGAGTACACGTAGCCCGGGCTGTATTTGCTGGCAAGTAGACGGTGGACTCAAAGCATCGACCTCATGGCCAGCAAGGCCCTGGATCAATTTGGTATGAGAGACTCAGATGATGCAACCCATGGCGTTCCGGCAAACGGCAACAGCAAGAGTCAGGGCCGTTCCGTGCAAGTTCGCCGCCGCGAGTACATGGTATGCTCGGGGCAGGCCTGCAGGGAACAGCCTGCTGTTGCAGAGCAACAATAGGATTGGAGGCGAAAACTGAAGACAAGGCAACGATGTCACTGAGTTGTAAGCAGACACCGTAATCGCATCCATTTTGAGATTCTCGTATCGCTTGGGGCATTCCTTCTTTGGAAATGTTTGCTTGCAGTGAGCGGTGTCGGCTGGTGCAGTTCTGCGATGACCGCGTCCAGCGGCAGGCCAGATAATACACAGTCAGAGACTATGCCTATCCCCTAGTATTCTCTATCATCAGGGCCAAAGGAAAACTTGGGGCTAGGTGCCAAAACTTAGCTACTGCCGCCGTTGCGGAGGACCGAGACCAGATCCGCCGGGCCCGAGGCTGTTTTGCCTCGTTCTTGGCTGAGCGCGACGCCATGTACTGTTGAGCAGCACAGCCGTGAAGTACAATACCTAGGTACGCTGTAATTAGCAGTAGACACCAGCACAGGAGGCCCTGAAAGCCCTGGAAGAGCGCGGCATCCGCTCACTAATCCTGCCCACCTCATCCTACCTACCTAGGTAAGGACGTGGAGGTACATCCGAGCAAACGGCACTTTGTCAGTTGTACTGCGGTAGGGAGGGGAGGGGCCGTGCCTCGGCGCACCCAATGGCGGGGGTACATTGCGGTGGACCGGACCCCGTTTCTGGGGCCTTTCCAGCGTTCCACGGGCGTCCAGCGGCCATTCTGCCCCCACTTTTCTTCCCTTTGAGGCGGCGTGAACGAAACACCACCGGTATTTTTTGGAGATACTCAATTCTACGCAGCAAAAACCATCATGACTTGGATAATAAAACTTGCGCTGCGCCCAAACACCGCCATCCAAAACTTTTCTTCCTCCATGCCATACCGCGAGAACAACCACTGATTTCGCAATTCATCATTTGCATTTTTTACCGCGCGAAAACCTTACACTTTTGCATCAGCTTGCCCTTGAATAAAAAGGTACTTGTCATTGCACATGTCTTCCCATATTGTCCGAAGTACCTGTCTGAGGTCGTGTGCCTCTGCCCTGCGCAGCACGCGACCCTCGTCGGCAACTTTCCATATGCGGCCCGCCTATCCTGCCTTGCTGCAACAACCCCAGCCAAGGTACAGCTCGCACTCTCCTATGGGCACGCCTCCAGCAATCCCTAGAAAGAAAGTTACCGTCGCTACACTGCGCAACCTTCACAAGAAGCGTGAGCCCATCACAGTCATGACGGCGCATGACTTCCCCAGCGCTCACGTTGCAGACCACGCTGGCATGGAGATCATTCTCGTCGGTGACAGCCTTGCCATGGTTGCACTTGGCATGGAAGATACCAGCGAGGTTCTGGTTGAAGAGATGTTACTGCATTGTCGTTCTGTCGCAAGAGCCACCAAGTCCGCTTTTGCCGTGAGTTGACCCTTGGATATCAAACACATGAACATCAGACTAATTCCAGTCATAGGTTGGCGATTTGCCTATGGGCAGTTATGAAATTGCCCCTGAACAGGCTCTGGAGACTGCCATCCGCTTCATCAAGGAAGGCAGAGTCCAGGGTGTCAAACTCGAGGGTGGAAAGGAGATGGCCCCTACCATTCGGAAGATCACCACTGCTGGCATTCCCGTACTTGCTCATGTTGGTTTGACACCACAGCGCCAAAACGCCCTCGGGGGGTTCAGAGTCCAGGGCAAGACTTCAGATGGCGCCATGAAGGTGCTCGAAGACGCACTTGCCGTGCAAGAAGCTGGCGCATTCGCAGTTGTCCTCGAGGCTGTTCCTGCAGAGGTTGCTGCGCTCGTCACAGAGAAGCTGGCCATCCCGACCATCGGCATCGGTGCCGGCAACGGCTGCTCTGGACAAGTCTTGGTGCAGGTCGACATGACAGGCAACTTCCCTCCCGGCCGTTTCTTGCCCAAGTTTGTCAAGAAGTATGGCGATGTTTGGGGCGAGAGTCTGAAGGCCATCGAAGCCTACCGCGACGACGTGAAGAGCAGACAATACCCTGGCCCTGAACATACTTATCCCATCTCCAAGGAAGAGCTTGAGGCGTTTTCCAGTACGCTAGAGAAGTTGTAGAAGGCTGTAACAGTCAGCAGTTGAAGCATTTGCATTGCATCGCGTTCGGGCTGCATTACCGGTGTTAGGGCTCGGTGGCTGAGGCATTTGCCGTCTTTTTTTTCCCCTTGAATATTTGATACCATTTAATAGAATAGTTGTAGTCAGCCAAAGGCTGGGTTCATAGCGTATGAAATCACAAGCTGGCCTGTTGAGTCCTTGAAACACTGCTACACGATTAACATCAACAGTTCCGATGTGTGAAGTTGACGCGAGCAACGTACATTGTGTAGATTGCCGACGATCTCGTCGAGAGAGGGCGCAAAGGAGTCATTGACGTAACAAAAGATATTCTCAGCGTCTCGGAGCTTCAATCGCTTGCGAAGGTACCAGATGACGGTGGAGAAGGCCTGAGTGGAGGATATCTTGGCTACGGCCATAGCGAGAGCGGGAGCGTTTCCCACGGGCTTGAACTTAACAACAACCTTCTCTGAGGCGTACTCGCCAGCACTGGCGAGTGCTGAGGCAACATCCCGCGGCTGAGCCGTCAAAATTGCTGAAGCGGACATGGTGAGCGGTATCTCCGGAGAGGCTGAGCGATCAGGAATTGTGGCCGGGGTTGGCGACGCCGAGTCTGACCTGGGAATACCAGGAGACTCAGGGCTGTCCGCCATTTTCAGTGGACTAGGTGGCGTAATGCGGTGCTTGTAAGAACCTTGTGCCAGGGATTTGGGAGCCTCCTTGCGTGTCGGTCTTTGCTGTGGTCGAGCAAGGCGAGAGGAGTAAGATGTCAGGAAACGGCGATGAACTCGAGGATGGACGTTGAAAGAGGCTGGCTTTTGTCAACGCATAAGGTAGCCGTAGCCCGGTTGGTCAAGGCATGCAAGTCACCCACCACTACATGCCTAGGTAGACACTTCAGGTGTGCCCGGGCAGTGTGTGTGGGGCGTCGCCAGTTGCCTTAGGTAAGTAACCCCTAACCCCCTACCTACCTATGTCGCTGTAGTCGGTGAATGGTCAGTGAGGTGACCTAATCCGACATCCACCTAAGGTACCTACCTAGGTATGGACCTATCCCGGGAGCCATTGCGGCGTGCTAACTACCTACCTAGGTAGTACCTTAGGTTACCTGAGCGCGGACAGCGGGGTCCAGGAGAACGTCAATGTTCAAGATACCTCCGTTATTTGAGCCCCTTTGCACCACAACTTCGACCTGACACAAATCTAGGCTGCTTGTGAGGCGAAATATTACCGTCATGACATGAAATGGATGCCGCATCTCGTCGACTCACCGAGTGGCGCTGAAACATATTCTCCTTCATATCCTCACCGTATTTTCGGCCGCGACAGCTCACTCCGGGTTAGGTGGAAGATGCGCAAGTCATGGAAGGCGTTCCTGCTTGCTGCCTTACCTTGATACACAGAAGGGAAGGAAACGACGAGGCAGTGGCCGGTGAGACCTGAGGTAAGGTAGGTTGGGGTACGGTAAGGTAAGGTCAGGTAGGCACAATGCATATTACTCCTGCAGCCACGAGGTAGCTGCAGTAGTGACAACTTGGATGATCGCCCTTGACTGTTGCTTATTGCCTCAACAAACATCTCTGTCGCCCTCCTAGCAGCCTTTTCCTCCAAGTACTCTTCTCTGTTATCTCTACCCGTCGACTCCTACGCAGACCCTCCCTCGTGAGATACCGCCCTCTAACTCGGCCACGCACCCTCTTTGAGCTGCTCAAACGAAAGATCTAGTCCTCGCACAGTAGCCTCCATGCTATGGCATCAACACCATCCTCGGAATCCCCGCACGCTGCAAGCATGCAGAAAACGTTGAAGACCGTTCACGATGTGACAAAAGCTGGCCCCGAACTGGCATTAGATGGTGAGCAACTCGACATCGCGACAGTCGTTGCCGTTGCCCGTCACGGACTCGTGCCGCGCATAAAGGGCTACCCGCCTGCCAAAGCAGACGAGACGGCCAATGGAGCTTACCGCAATAATGGGAGTTCGGATATCGATGAGCGAATCGCCCAGAGTATCAAAGTTCTCGACCATCACATAGAAAACGGCTGGGTGGTGTATGGCGTGAACACGGGCTTTGGCGGCAGCGCAGACTCTCGAACGGAGCAGCTCAAGAAACTTCAGATATCTTTGCTCCAACACACCCAAAGTGCCGTCATTACTGCCGCCGATCGAGAGGATTCTACCGACAAAGACGGGAAGTCTCACATCATCCCCCTAGCATGGGTGAAGGCAGCCATGGTTATCAGGGCCAACCAAAATCTACGCGGCCATAGCGCAGTCCGGATAGAGGTCATTGATACGTTGCTGGGACTTCTCCGTCACGACGTCACGCCTCTAGTCCCTCTGAGAGGAACGATCTCGGCATCGGGAGACCTAATGCCTCTCTCATATATCGCCGGAACTCTGATCGGAGACCCCAACATCACGGTAAGAATCGGATCCGGGGTAAGCCGGAAGATCTTGTCCGCCCGTGATGCATTGAAGGAATGCGGCATCAGGCCTGTCGAATTGCAACCAAAGGAGGGCCTTGGCTTGATCAACGGGACCGCTCCTTCGGCTGCTCTGGCCAGCTTGGTCATTTACGAGGCCAATCAGCTTGCGATTCTCGCCCAAGCTCTCACAGCTTTTACTTCAGAGTGTCTAAGAGGCAATGTCGAGTGGGCAAATGAATTCATCCACAGAATTCGACCCCACGCTGGTCAGCTCGAAACAGCTTGCAACATCAGACAGTTTTTGAGATCTTCTGATTTCGTCATCGGACTAGAGACGAAGAAGAGGACGGGTCGAGGTCTGTGGCAAGATCGGTACTCTACAAGGACAGCACCGCAGTGGATTGGTCCTTACCTGGAAGACCTCATGCTGGCCCAGCGTCAAATCGAGGTTGAGCTCAACTCGACGTCGGACAACCCAGTAATTAATGCTGGTCCTGGGAATGATCCTTCTGACGGAGAGGTCTATTCAGGAGGCAATTTTCAAGCAGTTGCCATCACATCCGCGATGGACAAGACAAGGAACGCACTTCAAATGATTGGTCGAATGCTCTTCTCTCAGTGCTCTGAGTTGATCAACCCGGCGACGAATAACGGCCTCGACCCAAATCTCGTCTTTGGTGATCCCGATCAATCTTACACGATGAAGGGTATCGATGTCAACATGAGTGCCTACATGTCGGAACTGGCGTCTCTCGCACACCCAGTATCTGCTCATGTTCATTCGGCCGAGATGCACAACCAAGGCATCAACTCTCTTGCCTTCCTGACAGGTCGGCGAACTATGGAGGCTGTGGATGTTCTTTCGCACATGTGCGCTGCTCATCTGTATGTATGCTGCCAAGCGATCGACCTCAGAGACTACCACGAGCGATTTCTCAGCTCTGTTGTCTTGTCCAAACGCCTAGACCGTGCTCGTCTCGGGCTGGACGAATCACAGCTCACGAGACTTACGAGTGGTCTCGACGAATTGGTAAGGGTTTGGTGGTACGAGGCGAACAAGGTCAGTCATTTTCAGCGTTGCTCGGTGGTGGCCTCCAAATTCGCAGCACATACTTTGGACTTCGTGGGTAAAGAGAAGATGCACGACGTCTCTCTCAGCGGCGTCTTGGATTGCCAAAGGGAATTCCAAGAGAGCATGGAAATGTGGCTTCTAGACCCAATCAATAATCCCAAGGTTAACCACCCGGGGATGAACAACGACAAGACTACAGCACATTTGGACGGACTTGGAGCAGGTTCGGCTGTGCTCTACGACATCGTGCGCGGAAGACTGGGAGTTTTCTTCCATCAGGGCCTCAGAGCGAAGCAAGAAAGCACGATCGGTGTAAACGTGTCTTTGGTGTACGGAGAGATTCGTCAAGGTTTCATAACACCAGCGCTGATGGGATGCCTCGGTCACAGCGCCGAAGAGGGCCCAGAGAACGGGATGGACACCCCCATCAGCAGCCATGACGGTGTTATTGGGACGCTCCGGACGGGCCGTGGGATCCTAGGAATGGTTACGGAAGTTTCACGGATGCTGTAGATGTCGAGATTCCTCTCCATCAATGTGAAATAGAATTGTCCGAGATCGAAACGTCAACATAGCAAGCAACCCTTGCTTTCCTGCAGTTGACTTCTTGGAAGTTTCCGAGTATTAGTGATGCGATGTTGCAAGTATGAGTAGGCTCTCTGGCAGGGGAAAGAAAGCGACTTCAAAATGGTCGAACAAGCCTGTACGTACTTGACGCGACTCGAAGGAACAACTGCAGTCAAGAAGAATAATTCATAGAGCATTGTGACTTACAAAGAAGCCATGATCCCACGGACCGAAGGAGCAAAAGACAAAATGATTGTCCTCGGAGAGGCTCGAACTCTCGACCTTTGGATGTCTCTGCCTATGGCGGAGTCATATCGATTGTAATATGAGACCAACGCTCTACCGACTGAGCCACGAAGACTTGGATGGAAGGGCAGTTTCAATTTCATCACTATGAAGAATTTGCCACGCTTGGACCCACGTAAGAAGCGGCCTTGCACGCGGGCATCCGTGCGCCTGTCCTAAAATGGACAGGTGTGGAGGGGCGGCACGGTTCGGTGCGGGGCTTTCTTTCGAGGAACCTACCTACCTTAGTGTTCGAGACGGGATGTGGTGCTGCTGGCTTTGATGTTTACATCAGCCTCATATAAGCGGCCTGTAGTATCATTTGTTTTGTATGCTACCTCTCCCCGCTTCGTATCCCCAGCCATTCGATCCAAGCAGCAGCAGATCGAACACTGTTCACGTTGTACTTTCCTTCCAACTACGCAGAAGCTGCCTGCCATTCTCGAGCGTCTGCTCTTGTTGTGTGCTGCGCATCATTCATCTCACAACTCTTCCAGATGTACACAAGGAGAAATGCTTTCAATTGCTCCAAAACGCCTCTGCCATGACTGTGCGGCTCACAGCACAACCACAGCAGTCCTTGGCTTCCCAAACCAATAAGTGTTTCGTGTTCAACATACAGTATACACAATCATAGACTGTTCAATGATATCTACACCATGCTCATTATGACTCGCCTTTGCCCTCTTCATCCGTACTTGTCCCGCCTCTGGATGACGACACAATGCCTCCCAACCTGCCTGCCGAACGAGAAAACTTAGCCGTGGTGGTATAAAATGCTCCATGCCGAACGCCATTGTGCATGCGATGCTTTCAGTGCGGCCCGACCAATTAGAGAAAGACGAAGAGAAAAACATGACCGGAAAGCGCGGGCGACTTCTTCTGGTCAGTCTACTGGTATCATTGGTTCCATGTGTGTGGAACAAATCCGTAGCTTTTGTATGTATGTGTGTGTGTGTGTGTGTGTGAACGTGCGTGATGCTCCTGGGATCACAGCGTCGGGAAATCGGGGAATCAAAAACCATATATGAGTGAGGCAGAATCGGTTCTCATGGGTGCCATGATGCGGAACGAGTTCGTCGAGTCGACACTTTCTATGGGTCCTCGATCGACACTTCCTCGGCGCGGTACTTGTAGTCGCCATAGCCCTTGGGCATGCGGCCCAGCTGGCCAAGTAGTTCGTCCAATTCGAGCCAGTTGTCGGTGTTTTCTGCAAACTTTCGATGTTTACGTGTGAGAATATGCTGCCATATGATTAGCAAACTTCGTAGACTGTGGAGCGCTACAATCAACGCACCTCGTCAAAGTCCTTAAATTTGTCCTGGCAGTTTTCACAGTAACCTGGCTTCAGATCACGCTTGCTCTTGGCAGGCGGCGCCTGAGTTTTAGAGCTGGTTCGAACAAGCTTGGCAGTTTGCTTCTCAGCGTCCTCTTCAATGAGCTCCATCCGTCTGCTGGTGGTCCTGGAAACGCTGGTAGATCTGGTAGACGTCGCATCCAAGCTCATCTCAGTCAGGCGACGAGAGCTGGGATCGTGGGGCGCTGGGGCACCTCTCTGCAGCACCTTGCGCTGCAGACCATGGACTTCCTTGCTGGTGCCGGCCTTTGCTCCATTGACACCCGAAGTAGAAGAGATCATCTGAGAGCGAATGGCCGAAGTAACATTCGACGGCTGAAGACCCGAGGCCACAGGCTCGCCGGCGAAGAAACGTGCCGTACCGGCACGGCTGGTAAAGGCATTCTGGGGTCGGAAGTCAATAGGATTAGAGGCAACAACCTTGGGCGGGTTGAACATCTCTACGGGCTTCACTGGAGCCTTGTCCTTGTTCTGGCCGTCTTGCATCTCGGCGAGGGTACGCTTGCCAATGACAGTTTTGGGCGCAGGCACCTCAGGGGGCTGAAGAGACGCCCTCTTCTCGTCCACAGGCTTCGCAACGCGCTCTTTGTCGCCCTTGGGCTCCTTCAGCTCCTTTTGCTGCGGTTGTGGTTTACGGCTCGGTCGCTCAGCCTGTTCCGGCTCCTCGACGAAAGGGCAGCGGCCATCCGTGACAGTCCTAAATTGGGGCCATTCACCGTCATACTTGTTGTTGACCTTAGGGTACTCCCGCACCATAATGGGCTTCTGCTTCTCGTCAATGTCGTAGACGTATATATACGGTCCCTTGAAATTGATCATCTCCCGGCTCGTGACGGCGTCAGAAGGACCATTGAGTCTCTCCTTTTGCAGCAACTGCATCAGGCCTGGCTCGTCTGCAGTTCTCTTGGTGCTCAAGCTCCTGGACTCGCCCTTGTGGCCAATTTGGGCGACAACGTGCGGATCGGGCTCCAACAGAAACTGCAACATCCTCTGGAATTTCTCGACCGACCAAATCTTCTTTCCCATGTCACGAGCCTTGTGCAGGACATCATTGCTGCGCGTAGGACGCGCACGCCTGACTCCGTCATCCTGCGGCTGGGTGTGAGTCCGTCTCGACGGGTGATCAAACAATAAACGTCTTCGTGCATCGGGGGCCCGGTCTAGAAGAGACGGGTTGATGGTCTGCGGCTGCTCTTCGGGCTCGGGGTCTTGGTGTGCGGGGGCGTGCACTTCCTCCTGTGCAGGAACTGGACGGGCGGTCACGACGTGAGTGATGCTGCTCGAGAAGAAGCGTTCGTCTCTCTACACATGACATATTAGTGACCAAAAAGGATTTTCAACACATGTGCTGCGACATACAGCTCCAAGAGACATGGCATGGCGGGAAAGCTTGGCCCTCTGGTCCTCGGCAACACTGTCGAAGTAGAAGACCATCTTGGGGAAGCGGCCGCGATATTCGGCCTGCCATTGTCGGATCTTGTCGACGTTCGCATCATCGTGGTGGTGGGTGGAGCGTTCTTTCGTTACGGGGCGGGCGACACGCTGGGGCAGTTGTGAAGGCTTGGCGATCTTGGATGGGGAGCGTTGGTGGCGGGATGCAGTGTTCTCGACGACCTGCTTCTTCAAAGGCGGCGGCTGGCCGTACAGCTCTTCTCTCTGGATGTTGGCATGAGAACGCCTCTGCTTGGCGAGAGCCAGAGCAGAAGCAGATCTCAAGGGCGAATTGGCCACATTGGGGTTGCTAGACAAAGGCGTTCGTCTAGTGGACATGGCCGTGGGAGGGATTGGAGTGGGCGATAGGGATATGGCTGCCATAAAAATGCCCAATCAATATGCTCGACGTGGGAAAGGAAAGGTTGTTGTTTTGTTTGTGTGGTGGTGTGGGTTTGTATGTCGGTCGAGAGCGAGGCGGGGGGGGGGGGGGGGTTGCTCTGTGGACGGGACGGGACGGGATGGGCACGCGACGTGGAGGCTGACACGTCGCTCACGCGTTCCGACAGAGAGCGTGTCGTGGGTTCACGAAGACATCGAATGCGCTGGGCGGCCGTGAGGAGGGAGGGAGATGCGAGAAGGAGAGGAAGTCGTCGTGGAGGTTCGTCGTGAAGCCAAAAAGAAGCAGCCAGAACACGGGTGTGCGAGTGGGCAGGTTCAAGGCAGAGCTTTATTAATATGGAGGTAGGTAGGTAGGTAGGAGGAGGAGTGGTTGGTGTTGTGTGTGTGTGTGCGGTGCGTGTGTGGGAGGAGTCCCCCGGCCATCATCCCAGCCTATAAGCAAGACCACCCCCGTCTTGGTTCACTCACTGCCTGTGCCTGGCCTGTCCGGGACCCGGTCACCTAAGTCGCGCTTGATGGGTTTTCGGGGGGGGAACAACAGCACTAATCCCCGTTCGGCAGCGTGGAAAACACGCACGGGCCAGTTTCTTCTCTGGCAACCGGTCAAATTTGCTTGGCCCTGCCTGCACAGTACCCGCAGCGGCGCGTCTTCTCTCAGTGACTGGACTCTTCACACTTACCTTACTTTAGGTAGGTAGGTTCACAGCTGCTGTGCTACAGTGGAGGCTCGCTGTAATCTGGCATTCTAGCACCCGACCACAATAATAACAACTGGTAGCGACCTGATCCGGCGGCGGCCTGGAAATTGGACGGATGGAGCTGCAGTGGGAAAACAATAAAAAATCCTGCCGCAACTGGGGGGCCGCCCAATTGGCAAGACATGGATGCATCCAGTTTCTTTCGACATGGCACTTTCACATTGCATGCTGTATTGCTGCATGCTGCTGCATTTACTTGCCTTAGTTACATATGTACGACATTAATGTCCACGGCAATAAACGCCATGCAACTCCATTGTCTTCTTCCACTCCTTAGATACATAAAAAACATCCACTCCAAACAAACAAATTTCTGCATCATCCCATCGTCCGCTCCTCGTCCTGGTGGCCCGATTCCCAAACGGGCATCTCTCACCCGTCCCGTCTCGGTCTCAGTCCTTGCGGAAAGGCCGCATGCACTGAACTAATCACTCTTTGACGAGTCAGCCAGCAGCAGCCTTTGGCCCTTAGCCCATCCTCGCTCCGTCCGGTACAGTGCAGACGATTGCAGTACCTCCACTGCCTTCCGTGATGACCTCATCCGGATCGTAGAACCCATCCCTTCTCGTTCATAAATCTCACCTGCCGCCCTACATCCCCTGCACATCGCTCCATTTCTGGTCATGAACCCCTCACGTCCAGTGAGCAGCGCTCTTCGGGCCGCCCAGAGACTGCGATGCTGCAATTCCGTGCCCTTGTGGCGCCCGTCACTCCCATCGAGTTGTCAGATCCGCCGCTACGCTGACGTCTCTGCTGCCGATCTCCAGTTTGGCCAGCCAGTGCATGAGACGCATCCTCACATTCTCAAAGCCGGCGAGAGTCAGTACAATCTTCACCCAATCACTGCCCATAGCATTCAATACTTTGCCCTCAAACTCTCAGTAAAGATCCCGAATAAAATCTTCTTGGGCTGACTTATATGTTTAGTCACTCCGGGTATCACAGCCCAGGAATATTGGGAGAGACGTGCTCGCCTGGCTGAGAAGCTGCCCGACGGTGGCGTTGCCGTCCTGTCTGCCGCCGACCTCAAGTACCGCTCCGGTGCCGTCTTCTTCCCCTATCGCCAAGAGTCCAACTTTCTGTACCTGACCGGCTGGAATGAGGGCGATTCCGTGGCTGTCATCCAGAAGACGGGCAAGGAATTCGGCGACTACCTGTTTCACCTGTTCACTCAGCCTAAGAACCCGGCGGCCGAGCAGTGGTCAGGTGCCAGGAATGGCATCCAGGCCGCTACGGATATCTTCAACGCCGACAAGGCGGGCGATATTAACAAGATCCACCAGTACCTCCCCGATATCGTCAAGTCGGCGAGCCGCGTCTACACAGACCTCGAGAAACCGAGGCAGGGCGAGCAAGAGAACAAACTATGGCAGCTCATGAAGAGCGACAAGTCATGGTTTCCCTCGGTTAAGATTCCTCTGTACCCTCTCATGAACTCTTTACGGTGTATCAAGTCCCCGGCAGAGGTCGCAAACATGCGCCGCGCTGGACAGATCTCGGGCCGGGTCATCACCGACGCCATGCGCAAGCAGTGGACCCGCGAGAAGGACCTCCACGCCTTTCTCGATTACAGGTTCACCGCAGACGGCTGTGACGGGCCGGCATACGTCCCCGTCGTAGCAGGCGGGCAAAACGGTCTTTGCATTCATTACGTCGTGAATAACAACGTGATGAAAGACGGCGAGATGGTTCTCATCGACGCGGGCGGAGAGTACGGCACATACATCACTGACATCTCTCGCACCTGGCCTATAAACGGCAAGTTCAGCGCGGCACAGAAGGACCTCTATGAAGCCGTTCTTACCGTTCAACGTTCAAGCGTGTCCCTTTGCCGTGAGAACGCCAATCTCTCCCTCGACGACATTCACGACCAAACGGCAAACGGTCTGCTCGAGCAGCTCAAGAGCCTAGGCTTCGACATCACCTCCCGCGATCTTGATGTCTTATTTCCGCACCATGTTGGTCACTATGTCGGCCTGGATGTCCACGATGTTCCTGGCTATGGCAGGAGAACGCCGCTGAAAGCCGGACACTGCGTGACCATCGAGCCTGGTATCTATGTTCCGGATACAGACCGTTGGCCGGAGCACTTCCGCGGTATGGCAGTTCGGATTGAGGACAGCGTCTGTGTGGATACCGAGTCACCGTACATTTTCTCGACAGAAGCTGTAAAGGAGGTTGTCGATATTGAGGCTCTCAGGGACTGAACCCTGTGAAACCGAAAAGGATCAAAATTTTGGAATCAAAGGTGTACACTATTAAACCAGGGTGGCACAGAAGTCGTGTCTCTACACACAAAATACGGCGTAGCGTCCGCTATGCAAGCAACGTACACTTGTTCCTGAGTGTCTCTGCAAACCTTCAGGAGCTGCCTTCAACGTGGCGTATCTGCCCGTCGAGCTGAGCTAACAACCAATGTTGTGAGAGTTGTTTCTCCCGGTATGCCAAAACAGGACCCTTGTCTTCGGGGTCCCTTGACGTGCCAGGGGAGGTACCCCATGGAAGGTTCCGCATGGAACAGGCGGGCTTCTCATCTGCCACAAGCGGACGTTTCCCGTTTCTTGTAGACCAGCTGCACGAACAGGATGCCATTGGGGTCATGTCAGTCAGCCGATTTGGTTGCCAAGATGAGATCATCATTTCCGCTGACAACTTGAGGTAGCACACAAATTGAAACAAAAGGGTGTTCGCCACAATTTTAGAGGTGTCTGGGACCTCACACGCAGCTCGACATCTGTGCTCATCGAAAATACTCCAATGAATCCAAATGTCCTTTCTAGGTTGCTAAAAGGATATGCGCTAGACATAGAGCAGTGTATGACCTGTCACATCAGAACCATGCCGAAAATGCCATCCGGAACAGAAGAATCGCCTTCAGTACATCCCCGGAGGAATTAACCGATAGTGCCAGAAACCCGAATAAAGGTCTGATAACCTTGAATTATTTTGTATATGCCTGCCTATTCATGCTTCGTAGATTGGTCGCAATCGTATATTTTTGGGCAAATGATAGCCCTTGACAACAAAATATGTACAGTTTCGCAATCATGATGCGTAATGTGATAAGGGGATAGATGTTAACAGAAGCCTCTCGGGTCGAACAAGGTTCTGCTGTAATTCGGCATGGGAAAGGGTTGCCGCGCCGTTGCACTCAACAGTTGCTCAAAGGCTTGTAGGCGCCTGGCGAGTTCCTGATGCTCGCGCATGATGGCTTTGTTTCTTCGTTCAAGGTAATGGATATACTCGGTTGCTTTCGTGAGGACAGTACCCTAAACCTGTATCAGTATATGTTGTGTGAAGCTAAATGACCGCATCACCGCTTACCTTGCTGACTTTAGGCCCGCGTTGCGACTGACTGTCCACCTCGGCGTCTTCGCCTCCCTCCTCGGGTATCGACTTGAGTGATGGTACAGCGTCGCGAAGCTCGGAGATCTTGTCCTTGAGATTGGTGCGGTACTTTCTCTCAATGTCGTTATGTGCCGTTCGGTCGCCGCCAGCCTTCGCCTTGTCTTTAGACTTTTCAGAGGCCCCAGTTGCAGCCGTCGTAGTTCGAGACACTTGCGGCCGTTGGTTCTTCGAGTCTTTTTCTACACTGTCTCTCTCCTTTTCCTTCCCCTTACTGTGGAGACCCGACTGTTCGGGGCCCCTCCCGAGTTCATCCATGCTTGCCGTCGCCATGCCGGCATCGAAATTCTCGAGACTTGCAAACTCGGGGCCCAGGTCTGCGCCAACCCCGAAACCCATTCCGGCGCCTAGACTAGTTGATGAACGACCGGTATTGAGGGCAATGGCCAGCAGGCGTCGCTGCTCCGGATCGAGCATGGGCGTGCCCATGCCTCCCATGCCGCCCATGCCAAATAGAGGGTTCATCCGCAGGCCGGGCGCTGGCTTCTCCCAACTCAGGGGCGTCGAATAAAGGCCCTCTCGCGGCGGAACCTCGGAAGGGGGTTGCGATTCGATCTTACCGAGCTGATCGCCTAGGTTCATGGACTCCAGAAACTCTTCATCGTCCGAGAGAGCGTTGTCAAGGGCGGTGTCGTCCATAAAGTCCTCCGGCTTGAATACAGGGTTTGTATACAGTCCAGCGCCCAAGCCCGGGGTTGTTGACATGGGATTCAGACGATTCGCAGCCGGTGGTCTAGAGAGATTTAGCGAAGTCGCTCAGATGCGTCGACTTTTGAGAGCGGCTGAGAGCATACCTAGGATAATGTTGGGTCGGATGTCTTCGCTTAGAAAAGTCGATCTCGAAGCTACCGCCGAGCTTTTGCTCATCGTCATCGTCGAATTGAATCCAGTAATCGACTGATTCTAGTGCCGCAGCCTCGGAATCCACCTTGGTCCGCTTTCGATCGTGACCGTCCCTCCGCCTCTGGCCAGCATTCTGGGCTGTGCGTGTCGGCAAAGCATTTCTGGGTTGGCCATGTCCAAAGGACATTTGAGCAGGCATAGCACCCATGCCGAAATTCGTGCTGACAGGCGAGGCCTGAGCAAAAGAGGGCATTGAGGAGGGGCCATTGGAAGTCGATTCAGAGTTGCTCTGATCGGCCCCTAGGGTCTCCCAGAGAGAAGGATCGGGAGCATTTCTCGCAGCACCTGCGGCCGAAGATTCGGCGGGTTGCTCGACAGAATTATTTGTTTGGTTGTTTGGGACGGCGAAGTAGTCGAGGTTCTTTAAGAAGTTGGGGTCCATTACCACAAAGCCAGCATTTCGGCCCCCGAAATGTCGGCGGTCGTCGATCTAGAAATCGATATTGTCTTTTTGTGGAAGGGAGAGTGGGTGCTCGGCGCGATCGTATGCCGGTGAGTGCTGAGCAGCGAGGACTCAGAGATCTCGTACGTTTCTTGGTTGGAGGGGGGCAGAGTTTGGCGATTCAAGATGGACAGTCGTACCACCTCGTATGGCCAATCAGGTCGAAGTCGGAATGCAATGGCAGCGTTGTCAATGGCGGCAAGGGAAACTCGCAAAAGTCGTGGGAGTCGGCAGGGATGGATCGAGATGCAGGATGCAGCGCAAGACAAAGAAGTCGGTCGTGTTCAAGGGCCGTCAAAGGTTCTGGGTTCGTAGAGGTGCGGCACCTCAAGTAGAGAGGTCGGCAGGGCGATGAGACGGGGATTCGCTTATTAAGGTCAGCCAAGGTCCAAATACTCGAAGGACTTGGTCGAGACTTGCGACTAAGACAGGCGGGTTGTGACGGAGACGAGACGAGGGCAGGGCAGATGCGCAGACGTATGGTAAGGTAGGTACAAGCAACAGCAGGAACAAGAGCAGGAGGCAAATCAGAGGAGAGCAGAGCGCCGACGGGTACGGAAAGCGACAACGAGATGCGTCCAAACACGGGGAAAGGACAAGAAAAGAGTTGAGGGTTGGGGAGATTTTTGTGGAGGCAGAGACGAAAATGACTGGTCACACCTTACGTGTATGCGGCAGGGAGCAACGGGAGGCAGGCGGCAGGCAGAAAGGTCGTTCGGTCGGCAGGTAGGTGTGTGTAGCTGTATCCGTCGAGACGGGACGGATGGAAGAGGAAAGAACGGAGAAGAGTGTTGACGAGCAGGTAGCCGGTGTTGGGTTGGCTGGCGTTGGGGGAGGGGCGCGGGAGAGAGGCACGAGGCGCGAGGCAGAGCAGCAAATAGAGCAGCAGAGAAATGTATTGCGCCGGAGAGACGAAGACAAAGTCGACTGATGTTTAGGGACACAGAATGGACCCGCGCCGGATCCCGTACGGTGAGCTACCCGGAACAAGACCGTGGACGGCCGAAGCAGACTCTACGCAAACAGAGAGTGAGTGAGTGTGTGTGTGTGTGGGCAAAGAAAAAAAAAATGTGCAAAAGGTTGCCAATTGGATGAATGAGTGACGGAGGAACGGGCGGAATGGCCTGACCTCGAATTCGCCAGCTTTGGCGGCGACCAGGGCACAGTGAGAGCGCGTATCAAAAAGTCAACCACTTCGTAGGGAAATCGTATGATATTTCAGGCGCTGGAGGGGAGGTCGTGCGATGGCCGCCAAGTCTAAAAAGGTACTGTAAAATCTCTCTGCTTCCGGATTCCACTCATTGGCACAGCTGCCCGCCTCTTATTCGTCGAATAAGAGGACCCATCCTTGACGGACCCCTGGCGTCTCTGTTTTTCGGCCCAGTATTCTTGCAAAGCTGCCAATGGGCTGAGCGCCTGACATGAGTGGAATCCCGCCATAGGGGAAGAAAAGGTCCTCTGTGCCGTGCATCACTTCCGGGTGTCGTAGCTTGATGATTGGCCACGTGTCGATCCGGCCCCACTTGACACGCCCGGATTGTCAGCCTTGCATGCCTGGCCCAAGCTTCCCCAGAATAGACTTCCCGCTGCGTTAGGGTCTGCCTGCTTCTGGCTCTGGTCGTGCGGCATTCTCTCCCCTCCCTCCCTTCCATTGCTTCCCTCCCGTGTTCTTTCCCATGTTGCTCTTCCCCCTTTGAGGCGTAGTGTGAGCCCAGCTGATCCAACCCGCGGCCACTCCCATACGTCGCCGCCCCTCGCCTCGCCTCGCCTTGCAAACCTGAAGAGACGTTCCGTCACTTTTGCTGTGCACCCACGCGTTCCAGCCGCTGCCATCCTTCGTTTTGTCAGCAACTAACTATGCCGTGCGCCATGCGGTATGCGATATGGGTGTCATGGTTCGTCCGTCTTTCCAGCTCCGACACGTGGACATAGACCTTCCGTCGACAGCTGAAGTCAAAGTTTGGTTCGCCTACCGAAAGAGGCTCGGGGTTACGCCTCTGGAAGGGTGGCCGCCTCCGTCCACCATCGGTGCGGCGGGACGACCTAAGAACGGGGCCTCCAACGTCAAAGAAGCGAAGTCCGGCTTCCGGCACGGTGCCCCTTTAAAACTCCGTTCATTGCCCTCTGCGTCTTTCGCCGTCCCCCACCGCTCCGAAGCGCCATACACTATCGGTTTCGGACGAAACACTTCAGAATGTTCACACCTCAGCCAGGACGTTGGTGGCGGGACAGCACGTGGGATGGTCGAGACACACCGAGACACCGTTGGCGCCGTTGCGAGAAAACGCCTCTATCCACATGCCTTTGACTTGGGCGTCGCTAAATGGCCCCTTTGCCTTGGTGGTAGCTCCAACCCTATCGTGAGTGTGTTCTGCCGGGCATTCATCCTTATCGTGCCCCATTGGACGACCTCTTCTTTGATTGTACCTTACCTTTCCAGGGCGCAACCTTAGCCACCCCAAAAAATACTCGTCTTCAATGATTTCTGAGAGCGTGACGACGCTAGTGGCGTTTTGGTCACAGACTAGCCGAGTAATGGAGAACAGACGAGAGGAAACATGATCAGGATTGCGACATTTCGAGTCGAGATTTGAAGTGATGAAAGAAATCTCTTCCTCATGAGAACATTTGTTGTGCGAGTATCTTGCTACCTATGTCCTTTGTTGACGCTGAGCACTTATATCCAGAAAATCGCCCCTTCCCTTATTCGAGAGCATCGCGATACATCGCCGCAAACCAACGCCAGTACCGTTTACAACATCGCCATCATGAAGCTTTCCATGACTGCTATGGCCATTCTTTGGTCTTGGGCTTTCGGTCTGGGCCCGATGAACTTCATTCAATCCTCAAGCCCTGTAGCTGGTCCTGTCTACCCCGACTGCCTCCGGTTTTATCAAGCGAAACCGGGCGATAGTTGCCAAAGCATCGCTGATGCGCATTCCATCACCCTTCTGGATTTCATTTGGATGAACGCAGGCCATGACACTCAACACACGTGCGCCAATGTTAACGTCAGTGCTGGCGAGTGGTACTGCGTCAAGGGCGGAGAGCTCAGCTCCACGGCATCGCTGCCTTCCGCATCTCAGTACGCCAACAACGTTGTCGATAAGAGAAGGATGATTCCCCTGCTATCCTACCAAACGGTCGCGGCGGTTTGTCTCTAGTGCTCATAACCTTGCGCGTGCCGCGCCCACGGGCAAGCTGCCAGTGAGGACTGCAGGGTTTCCCACGAAGATTGAAGCTGTCACGGCGACTACGTCACCCCCAGAACCCGCGTGTGAGCTAGACGAATGTGCTGTCGGACTTCAAATGGCTGTCGGCGACGCAGCATCTGATCAGAGACAGTTCTGTACCAGCGTCATTGAGCCGGGATGTAGACACTACGAACTTCAGAACATGGACCTTCCAAAGTCACTCAATGGCGTGTGTACGCAACGCAATTTATGCCAGGACATCTCATTTGTATGCTCCTGCTGGAGCAAGGAGAAGACGATGTTAAGTCCCCGTCGCGAGCAGCTTTGGTGGCGGAAGAACATGAACGTGAGGGTGCCTGTCCTTCGCATGTAATGACTTAGTCGGCTATACCGGCAGATACTTCAGCTAAGCGGACGGAGTGCGTGCTGCCTACATTAACCCTGTTGTTACGTTGTGCTATCCCTCTTATTTCTGATGTTCAATACCCTAGCTACATGCTGATTTTCGGCCAGACGATAATGTTATGGTTCAACCTAGGTATGCCTCACGACCCAGACCACTCGTTCAGCTTCATCCAATCCACAGCATCACTGCTGGACTCAGCAACGGGGGTTAGGGTCGGCCGCCCGATTGGCGCAATCAGTGCATAAACCAGGCCAAGCGATGACATCGTGCTTTGGCTTCGGCCCCTTGCAGCCCTTGCCAACATTTTGGCACCACTTGATGTTGTGGAAGCCATGGTGGCCACAGTCATATGCCTTGTCGATCTGCACACACATTATGGCGGCGGTATTCTGGGAAGCGTATTTGGTTTGTCTCTTTTGCCTTTGACATCCACACTGCTATCATCATTTCACGTCAGCATACGTGTCTGATCACTGGTTTTTCCCGCCAAGTAATGTCGAACATGGGGATCTCGCCATACAGATTGTAAAGGAGTTATGTCAAGTCAGCTCAGTGGCACCAAACTCTTTGAAGGAACTGCGACTGTGTAGCCGAGTTGATGATCGACCTTTGAAGCGTCTGTCTCCTTGCTTCGGACTCAAAGTCACAGGCTGTCTAATAACAGCAGGAAGCGTAGACGACAAACACTATGGGTCAAACTTCAAGACATCGAACCCGCGACAGAGAACTTCGTTAGAGTCTCTGACGTGGTAGGAGGGACAGGAAAGCTGCGACGCCGATAGCTGAACGAAGATGCGAGTGGTTTATGGCGTGTGTCCAAGATCAAGACACTGTGAGAGGCTTGGAAGGAAGAAGAATCGAGCAGAAGAAGCACGAGGCTCCCTCGCGTGGCTTTTGTACCATGTTGAAGGAACGTGAGATTTCGCGACCTGCAACTAGTACGCTGGAATCTGGGCCCTGTCGGGCGACAAGCCGCGTTCCGCGGTACTGGAAACAACGAATATCCCGGTACCAAGATGCGAGACTACCAAGGAAAGGCAGAGCACCGTTGGAATGTCACATATCACAAAAGCTGCAGTATGGACTTGACAGCTTCAATGGGGATTTTTAGGAGGGGAAGGAGTGGACGCCGTGCTTTTTCAGGTCCTGTGATTTCCGCTGCTCAGGGAGCCACAACCGACGTCACTCGGCGAAAGCTGGGTCTTTCGGCCCCATGCAGGCTGGCAACGGCGCTCGGCGTTGGTTTCCCGGTTCATATTGGTTTGAAAAGGCGGTGGGTAAGGGGTACCGACATCGTACAGCGTCTTTCCTCGCGGACATCGAGATCCCCGAATACACGAAGCCAGTAAGGTGGAGGAGGAAGAAGACTTCACTGACACCACTGGAAGAAAATCCAGGTCCGGCGTAAGACTGATGCCGAGAGGACTATTATGAAGCGGTGGGGAGGCTGGTGACAATCAACGATCCTGGACCCCTGTTAACTCCTCCGGGGTAAATCCTCGTCTGCCCTATCACAAAAGCTCGCTATGATATCTGATCTTCCCAGGACACTCAGCCTGTAAGTCACGACATTTATTTCTCATGCTGCCCTCGACGTGCGGCGCTGTAAAGTCTCAGGAGAATGCAACCCAAGGCGCGGGATGCGCAAAGGTGGATGGTTCTCCGTCAGAGATCCGTCAGGCGAGAAGAGAGAAGAGGGGTAGACGGACTCGCTGGTAAACGGCAGCCCGCGAGGACTGTCTGAGGACCCCACTGCGCGAGCTGCTGCGCGAATGGGCTGATGTGGCTGGTCGCCAGCGTCTGTCACACACCTTGCAGACATGCATACTGCGTACGGCACGCGACATGTCCCATGCAGCGAATAGTCTCTCTTGGGGCTCCATCCGAGTGGAGGGGACAGCGAACTTCATGCAGGGTCGTCAAAACAATTGGCAGCGATGTACGGGTATGTTCTTTGAACTCGTTGGCGGAAGGCCTCGAGGCTTGCTTCTGTCGTTTCGCCCCCAGTAGGTTGGGTTACATGGCGGTCGTCTTCTTAGCCAAGAGCACATCAGGAAACTCTGTCTTGTTGATATTGCTTTTGATAGAAAGTTGACTGATGATTCTGACGGAATGAACAGCTGAAAATTGCTTTCTCGACCTTCCAAGTATTGGTAGATAATGCTACCTACGCCGTCATGCTGGCAGATCAAGAAGCGACTTGTCTAGAAGGTGTGTCATCCTGGGACCCAAACCAGTATGTCGTTTGGCCTTTGTAAACTTCTGTCCGGGTCATGAGAAACAGCCATTAGTCCAGCACGGGGAAAATCCTTAGACAAGTTCTGTGGAGTTGAATACTTGCAGCGATGCCAAATCACCTCCCGGGTTATGCTCGTTGATCCGAAGGGGATGTGTACTTCTGGCGGCATCAGGTTTCTTGTTCTTACTGCCTAGACATAGAGAGGTAGGCAACAATGAAGGAATCATCAAGCTGGCAACTCGGCTGCATTAACAATCCAAACTGGCAATGCGGCAATGCGGCGAGCTGGTCGTGGGCTTGAGAGGTTCAAACAAAAGTGTCTGGTGCTAGATGAAGATTCAGACCTGATAACTATGTCTCGGCCATTTTCAACCTTCAAACACCCTGCCTACCAACCAAGTAGGGGATGCGGTGACTGCAATGTTCTTAGGCGGAAGGAAAGGCGTACGATGAACTTGCCCATCGTAACTGCCTTACTTGACCTTGCCCCAGAGCCTCCTTCCACAAATTGCACTTGCCAGATCCGAAACTACGGGCCCCCTCCTGCTTAATTTGATTTTTTCACCTCGAAAGTCATTCGAAGTCGTCCAGCTGTATTTCGTTGCACGAAAATAGGAAAGCCTCTGCCCAGTTCTTTTCTACCGGACTTGCCTCACGAAGCTCAAGTAAAGTCGTGCCTTTCGACCCACTAAGCTACTTCACCTTCAACCAGCGAAACCTCCCCTTCCTCAGCCGGTTACCTCTGGTTCTGTTCCTCCAAGACCTAAGACCTCGCAAGACAATTTCCTCAACTTGGACGCATCTTCCCTACGATCTCTCGTCAATCTTGCACTTTACTGACGTTTTACCTTGAAGCAACAGCGCCAAGCGCAATACCAATGCAAGGATGCGGTGCAATACTTCGCAGCTCCTCTACGGAGCCGCTCTGATGCTAAGCAGCGCCGCAACTATCCATGCCCTCTCTTGGTATGGTGGTGAGAGAAATTCGGGCCATGGGCGGAAACTGGACAGAGTTTCTACGGGTCATACGATCGGAATTCAGCCGGCGTCTCGCCTCCCGAACATTTATGCCGTCGCCATGCAGGAACTCCAAGAGCTAGAATCCGAACCTCTCTGCCATCGAATCGCTGCCCGCCTCCTGGTCAACAACTGCCAGCTTCTCGACGGGAAAGATGACGCGACTGTACTGATCGACAGCGGCAGACAAATCAGAGACTTTGTTGACTCCTACGCCGCCAGCCTTGCTATATGCGATCTCGAAAGAGGGAGTTTCGATATACCATCGGGCTGTGCCCCATTTCGAGAGAATTCCTTGGCTCAGATTCCCGATTCCAAGTTCCCTCGTCTTCACGTCTCTCCCCAACAAATCGACTCATGTCTCTCAGGTCTAGCAAGGTCAGATTCGGCATGGAACACTTGGGTCAGCTACCGACACAAAGCACTGAGGTTCTGCGAAGCTGCCCGTGCTGACAACGACAAAGGTGAGTGTCTCATGAGTTCCCCTCTGCCTTGAGGAGTGGCTCTGACACAGCGATAGCTCAAAGCATACGCCTACATCAGCGCTTGACGGAGGTCTTATCCAAGCTCTCTGAAGGAGTCGAACAGGAGCTCGAAGCTCATCTGCATGCCATCAACACGCGAGCTACCGAAGTGACCGATCAACTGCGTCGGATTATCCCTGATGTCGACCGACTGCGCGACAGCATTCAAGACATGGATCGAACCCTTTCCCAACAAATTGTGGAGACAGCTCAGGTTTGATACTACAGCCGGCCGCATTCAATGGGCGTTTTCGCTGACTTCATAAGGCTTCGCAACATGCCATGCGGAACGGACTCGAAGATGCCCAAAATTTGCAGCAGCTACTTGGCGTTCTCCTCAGGACTGTGCTAAGCAGCAACGCTGAAGTTGCAGCATCACATGAAGTTGCCATAACCGCTTTCAAGGATCGTACTGAAAGTGACCTCGGTGTTGTCATGGCGGCACTAGCATCAGCCGCTGCATCCTCCGCATCGCTTCAATCCCAGATGGTAGGTGAACCTATACTGTGTGCAGAATTCTTGGCTAAATTTTGACGCAGGAGCTTTCACACCTTCGCGTAACGGAGCTCGCCGGTCGACAGCAGAATCTTGAAAAGGTGAGTAAATGTTTTCTGTCTTGCATTACCCCTGAAGCTAACGGTTGTAGGGTCTGGGCAGGCTATTTGAGCTCACGGAAGACCTTTCGTCACAGTATGAGGTCCATTCTGAACATTTGACAGATGCCCAGAAAAAGTCAGAAGACATCCTGGTAGCCTTAGACAAGATGGCGAATTCTGCATCTGAT